TTAGCGTAAGCGTAAGCGTAAGCGTAAGCGTAAGCGTAAGCGTAAGCGTAAGCGTAAGCGTTAGCGTTAGCGTTAAGCGGTAAACGCTAAGCGTTGCATCGACACATCATTCCCTGGCCGGTCCGCTTAGTACCAGGTGCGGCAGGTGCGTCACCTGTGCGTACCAGGTGCGTCATTCACTGCCCGTCACCGCTTACTGAATACAATATAAGTACTGGATTTCGTGAGCCTTCGGAGCGGCGTCACAGTTAACTGCTACGTACCGATGGCATTGTGTCTCACAGTCGCCGAGTGTGAACTTCATTGGCATCGATACGTGCAATGGTATTTAATTGCCTCCTGCATACGAGCACGCAGATGTGTACCATACATCCTAATTAAGCATCCCCGCGTGCATCACAGTGATGTCGCTTCACAATGCACGCTGAGTACAGCAGTGAGGGTAGCAGCTAAACAGGGCAATCTCCCATTGACTACTTGGCAGTAAACAAGGGCCAGAGATTCCGAAAATTAGCTCGCATACTTCTCATTTCTGTTTCTTAATTCGATCATCGTTGCTGTTTCTTTTTCTCTCTTGAATTTAGGTGCAAATTGTAGGTTATAACTCGGATTTATACGCAAATATGTCTCAAGCTACGCACCTACCTCAAGGACTGGTCGCCATATCATTGTTAGCTCAGGTACGTATACGCATACGTTATGATTACGCGGAATATAAATATTTATGAAGTTGAATATTTTATATGAATATGTATACCTACATTAAAGCCTGTCTATATTTAACGGACGGCTAAGAGCACCCGAGTGGTATTCGGTTAGTTAATCTCCATGCATTTATTATGATTCTATTGGGTAATGGAAGCGTACGAGTTAATATGCTAATTTTAAGCAGCGAGCGCCTAAAACTGCGACGGATTCGTTCAACGACAAAAAAACGAAATATTAGGTTCAACGTATGATAAGGATTCTTCTCGTGTTAAATAGCGTACGAACATAATGTCATGCGCGGGTAGTTTTCCCCTTTGTCGTCTGTTTCCATTTATATGCTCTTCTGAAAGCTTCTATACAGGAGCTCTTAAATTCTCCTTTCACAGAAATGCGATTCACCAGACTGAGTGATCGCTTTCAGCGGCATGACTCCCTCCATACACACACATACACACACACACACACACACACACACACACACACACACACACACACACACACACTCACACACACACACACACCACACACACACACACACACACAACACACACAGCAACACACCATCACACACATCCACCCAACACACACACACACACACACACAACACACACACACGAACTCCACCACACACACGACGCAACACACACGGCGCAAACACACACACAACGCTTCAGTCTTGGCAGTTAAAGAGTGATATTTTCTTAGTACGTATCCATTCGGCAAAAACAATTATTAATTAAAATGGATCCGTCGAAAATCAGTTGTGTGTTATAACGAAAGCAAAATATCGAACGTGTATAGTATTGGGTGTGTGTTATTATATAGCCTAGATTAAAAAACCTATAACCAGCTAAGTTGTCAACCATAATATTCATTTGATTAAAGAGTTGTAAACGCTTACCGCCGACTATAATATAAACATTATTATATAATGATATATTATTATATGCATAATATATAATAAACAACTATCATATATGTATTATAATTCATATAGTTCTACATAATTGCAGAAACCCTGCATATGAATAGCGCGCATGACAAAGTATACGTCACCATCCGAAATACGAGGAAACCGCCGTATGTCGTTTCCATTATTTCTTTTATGCTTGTTATTTGTATGATATAAAATGCTAGAAAATCAGTAATCATCTATGACGTATTCGCCATGACCGCCTTAAACTAAACATGTTTCAATTACTCCCACACATGCAAAGTGCATGTGTGAGAAATGGCATTATACATCATATGCGTAATACTATAATCTTCGTGACTCTCAGAAGATGTCCGTCGCAACGGGAATGTAGAATGTGACGTGTGCTCTAGGCGGACGTACATCCACAACGGCAGCGATTGAGACTCTTGGTTTCACTAAAAATTTCCTAGCGGCCGGAACAAAAAGCACAATCGCGATGCTATGCTTCGAATGTTTTCCTTTGCGGTATTTTTTTTTAATTTTAACCGCGGAACGGAATATGCGAGTTTTCTGCTTATAAATCGATTTTTAAATATTAATGTTTTAATAAAAGCAGAAACGTCTAAGCGCGCCACTCAAGCACGATAGAGGCACTGCGATCAAATGCCTTGGAAAGTTGCTTTATGGCGTCGCTTCTTTGAGTTTTCGATCTTTGTAGGGGGTCGATATACACACGCTAATAAATGTCCGGCTCTACATCTTTACAGGTTGGAAAGACGCTAATCAAGAATTAACCCTCTCATCGAACACATCACTGCAAATAATTTATAAAGGCTAAAGCAATCATCTACTACCTCTCATTCTCTATCTCTCTCTTTCCCCTCCCTCTCTCTCTCTCTCTCTCTCTCTCTCTCTCTCCTCTCTCTCTTCTCTTTCGTTATCTCTATCTCTCTCTTCTCCTCTCTCTCTCTCTCTCTCTCTCTCCTCTCCCTCTCTTGCTCTTCTCTCTCTCTCTCTTTCTCTAGCTCTATCTCTCTCTTCCTCTCTCTCTCTCTCCTGCTCTCTCTCTGTCCCTTCTCTCTCTCTCTCATATTCTCTATCTCTCTCTCTCTCTCTCTCTCTCTCTTCTCACTCTCTCTTCTCTTTCTCTCTCGTCTCTCTACTCTCTCGTCTCTCTTCTCTCTCTCTCTCTCGCTATATATATATATAATTATATATATTATATATATATATATTATATATATATAATATATATAGGAATATAATATATATATCCTTTCTCTCTCTATCTTATCTATCACTATCTATCTATTCTAATCTATCTATCTATCTATCTACTATCTATCTATCTATCTATCTAATCTACTCTCTCTCTCTATCTTCTCTCTCTTATCTCTCTCTCTGCTCTCTGTCTGTTCTCTCTACTCCTCGCTCACTTTCTTCCTCTCTCTCTCTCTCGTCTGTCTCGGGGACCATAGCTGGTGTCTCGTTTTTTGGTGTATTAAAAGAACGGAGAAAGCAACAGCTGCGTCGACGCGCCTGCTGACGTACAGCGGGCATTCGCTGACATCTGATATTTCCCCAGCGCGGCCCGGACAGCCGATGTTTCCGTCAACACGTTTCAAACGTCGCGAACGGTCTTTGAATCAGGGCTCTAATAGTCGTCAAACGAAACTTATCCCGTCGGAATCAAAAAAAGTCTCAACAGATCTCGGCAGCCAGAATTATATTAATAGTCGACTCTGCTAACGCGCAGAAGAAACGATCGCTCGCTTGCCAGGCTTATCGTTTGGCGTCTTTGTTCCCGCATAAAAATAAGTAACCGTCAAAAATCGCGAAAAATCCGATATTTATCAACAGAAAGCGTTCATGTTGATCATTTTTTCAATTGCGGCCCGCCCGCATTTCCGAAGGAGTTACGGGGGGCGGGACGAATATGGCGGACGATTTACTAGTAGAAGAGTTTCCTGCCCTCCCCCCTCCGGTCGTAATCGGGACTGAGCTTGGCGAGAAAGAATTCGCTCCCGTTCTAAACATATGTCACGCGCCGTCGCTATGGGGTTCCAAATTGCCATCGCGGCGTCGTGCGATTCAAATGTGCCGGCGTTATAAACTCTTCGACACACGTCGAGCTATTCTCGACGGCGGGAGGTTTACGCTAAGCGCCGTAAGTTTCAAGGTCCCACTTACGGAACCCCCCTCCCCCGCTCCGCCACAGCTGATCGCAGGGGTTAGCGTTTACATTCTTTTTTCCATCGTTTTTACTCAGTCGTTTCACGTTCGCAGCCGTTTAAAGAAGATACGGGCTTTCTAAGGTTATGGGTTGATTTTTCGCTTTGTGTCCCTTTTTATGAATTACGATTTGCGTATATGACGGATTTAACTCGACCTTTACAAGGGTGCCAGTTACGTTTTGTCATGATTTTATTTTTTAATGTTAGCAAGGTGTGCGTTAAATTATGCATCGCCATCCATTGTTGCATAGCTCTTGTTTACTTGGTTGCTTTCCATCGATATCTCTGTTATTCGCTACTATGTAAGACAGTGCATCAAATATGTTTGTAAATCAATTGCGAAAGAAGTTACACGAGCTACAACAGTCTTCATATGTCACTCTCGTGGGCAGCGGCCCGCACTTGGCAATTTTCCTTTTACGTTGTTACTCTCTATGCATATAATATCTAAACGCTCTGTTATATCCATATGTACTGTATATCTGCATTATAGTCCTTCTGTGCCTTCCTTAGAAAGTGGCCAGAGTCAGACCGAGAAAGCAGATGCTCTTAACGGATTTGTAATCTATCTAGACTATCTATTATACCTGTGTAGTCTTGTACATTCCTCAGAAGCGGCAGGGTCACACACCGCGCAGCAGATGACTTGTTAGACTTCATTTATTTAGCGGACTTACAGACTCTTTAATTGCGACGTGACGCGCCGAATAGTAGTTTTCCGTTTCTACGTTTCAGTGCACTTTTATTGTTTCTAGACCAAAGAGTGCCAGCTTCTTACGTGTTCTAGTGAAGCGAAGATGCCTGGCCGGATACGCAGCAGTTACATAACTACGAAGGATCGACTACACACGCCTGGATGTCAGGAGACGTCACGTGGATCATCATAAACAAACCCATTTACGTCAACAAGGCACAGCAGGTATATAGATCGAAGTCGATAGCCGCCAAAGTCGATCCTTCTTCCTTCTATGATATTGACTTAAGCAAGTGATATTTTCGCGTGAAGATGATAAAGTCGTCCTACTCCTTCCGCGCTATCTGTCTTCAAAAGAGTATTTGTAATCGGTGTCTAATGGTATATTAGCAGAACCCGTATCGACGTGTCTTAAGCGCGAGCTGTCCGATGTGCAATTTGCTTCGCCAATGTCTGAATGATTCCACGGCACTTACATTTGAAAATGTTAACTCGATGCCTCACTTCAAACACCGCTAGCTGGTTAAGAGTGAAGTGTTTCTTATATTCACGTGCAAGTTGCGCCGTGGCATCCACAGATGCGTCGTTCTACTGCGTATCGCTCGACAACAGGCCCAGCGCGGCTTCAAAGAGTCTGACTACCAGCTTGAAAGCAGCGTTGATATCGCGTGTATTGATTCTAGCGGCGTAAAATGTCTACCAATATGCGGGGCGTGTGGAAATCTTTAGTTATGGTTTATTTACAGCAACTCTTCTCTGGCGCGCTCGCGCACCTCTCTCTCGGGGCGCTCTCTGCTCTCTGCTCTCTCTCTCTTCTCTTTTCGCGCTCTCTCCACTCTCTCTCTTTTCTCCCCATCAGAAACTCGTATAAGATCTCTTCGGCAATGCGACGGCGCGTGAAAGAATTTATGATGCCACTTCTTCTGAATACAAACGATGGCTTTCTGTTCTCGCGCTCCGCGCATCTCCGAT